CTCGGCGACCGGCGGCCGCGACTTTCTGGTATGACGACTGTCTGTTCGGATTTGGCGACGTCTCAGATCCGTGGCAGAGGTAGCAACTCGGTCAAGGGTCCCTAAAAGCTTCTGTTTCTTTTTCTTTTATCTATGTTTCTGGATTTTGTTGTACCAGAGATGATCTGATTAAGTTTTACATGATTTCGGTGACGCTCGATTGGACTCGCACTTTTAGGCCTTATTAAATCCTAATTCCCTTACTTTAATGTACGCTGATTGCAGAGGTACTGAAAGTGTAATTTTACAAATTTTATTGTCCATGTTTTTGGTTTTTGGTTCAAGTCTTGATGCAAACCAAAAGAATTTGAGTAGTCTGATAACAATTTGAACTGCTGTTATATAAAAAAATATCGGATAATTAATCACAAATGTTGTCGTTAAGCTGAGTTTACCTTAAAATAATTATGTTAATGATAGTTTCTATTTAATTATTTTTTAGTAACTATTTTTTGGTCTTATTTTTATATATAATAAATGTGAGTCTTGATTTTGTTTTGTACGAAGAGCAATTAATTTCGTGATTAAACTGAATATTGTTTATTGAATTTTGTTGACGAAGTAGGAAATCGAATTATTTTGTATACTATATATTGATTCAATATACCCGCTTACAGTAATAATGATATCTCAATATATTTTTTTCATATTGTTAAGCATTTTACTCGATAATAAGGAAAGAAAATCTGGGTAATACTACGGTCGGTTCTTATTTGTAAACGTGCGTAGAACATACCAATTTATTTGGTGTGTGTGTGTGTATGTGTGTGTGTGTGTGTGTCTATTGTATATATAAAGGTTTGTTTTACTTAAATCACATTGTAGTCAAATTGAATTAAAAAATAAAATTTTTAAAATGACATTTATTTTGAGATAAATATTGTGTCACTTATTATCAGTTACTTGCACCGTACGAGTCGTGTACTAATTTTAAATAAACATATTTTATGTAATTTTGCACAATTTTGATAAAATCGTATTATATATTGATTCCATATTTCTAATTTATAAATACTACTCAATGAGCATTTGTAATTTATAAATATTAATGAATATTTCTTACCCGTGCATCGCACGGGATTTGTACTAGTGGATTGTTAAGAAATTGTAATTCATCAAAATTGATTTTTTGATGTGGTTTTTATTAAGAATTTCGATCTCCAAAATTCTTAAGAGGCAATATTATTTTACCTTGTTTAAATTAGATTTGATGAGTATTTTTTAGTTACGTGACTTAATTTGGATATGTATGGATTCTCTTTTGAAAAATTCAAATTAAGTGGAATTGATATAAATAAGTATGGACTATTGTATTTAAATAAAGAAAAAAAAAAGTCGAAGTCTGATTTGTTTTAAATAAATGTTCGAATTAAAAATGTAAAAAATGTCTTAATATTTCTATAAATGAATATAATTTATACGTGCGTTAATTGCAGATCACGGGTTTGATATTGAGATAAATAAATCCCAAACAAATCCCATCCAATAATTAAGGAAATGATATCTATCTATAAAGAAAAATTGTCCAATAAATCAGCTATTTCAAAACTGCCGTTCATTCTTATAATAAATCAGCTATTTTGGGGCAGTTTTGATTAGAAAAAAATAAGGAAATAAAAAACAGATTTTGGAGAGGTTTAATGAGCGTATATAAAACAGATTTTTGAAAAATAATAAAACAACACGCATTTATTGTTTTGGCGCCAGTTTTTTGGCGGCAACTTAAAAAAGGTTATTCTTTTAATATAATTATAGATTCCATCTCCACGAGTCAAAAAAATCACATCCCTCTATCGTAACAATTTTAAAGGTAAATAAATAAAAGTCTAATTACTACTATAAATCCATTATCTATATAGATTTTTTAAAAATCTAAATTTCACCTGATTACTAATATTTTAGATACTTTTAAATATTATTTGTACAAATTTTTTTACACATTTGCTCTCTCTCTCTCTCTCTCTCTATATATATATATATATATATATATATATATATATATATATATATATATATATATATATACATATATGGAGGTTAAATGAATAATTTTTATACATATTTTTCTTACGGGTAGTTTAGAAAAATTTAGGTAGCTTCATACATTAGTTGTGAATAATATAGAATATTTTAGATTCTTTTATAGATGTTATAATTTTTTTTAAGTATTTTAAATATTTATATATCACACTTAAAAGAATATTTTGCCAAAAAAATATTAAATACACAGTGTAAATGTTAATAGAAACAGTCTTCAGTGTTCGTCTTTGATTTTGTCAAAACAAATCTCATAAAATCAGTGAAGTCTAAATTTGTACGTAAAGTCTATTTATACTAAAAAAAAGGTAGATTCAAAATTCATTATCTAATTTTTTATTTTCCTTATCTAATTCCTTCTTATTATCTAATTGTATATAAATATATTTTGATTTTGTTCAATCTTCTAATTGTATTTTTATTATATCCCATAAAATCAGTTTAAAAAAAAATCCCATAACATCCGATAAGTAAAAAAAAATACGTAAAATCTTTACTAAAATAAAAAAGGCTTTATTTATTATCTAATTGAATGAAAATTTATTCTATTTTATAGGATGTACTACAAATTGTGCACCCTGTTCAGGAGCTACTTAACGGGCAAGCTATGTGAAAATAAATCTTTTAGTGCTTATGTTCCGTGCATACGGTATGTATTTGTATTACACATATTAAAAAATTGTGCACCCCGTGCATCGCACCGACTCTGTACTAATAAATGACCTTAAAATTGTGCATCCCGTGCATCACTCGTGTTCACATTTTGGTCTATTACAGGTCACACACTATATATATCAAGTACATTTTTCTTTATTCATTTATATAATTATAAGACTTGATAAATGACGGGAAAATGATACAAATGGTCCTGTAAGTTTACAACTTTTTACTTTTGGTCCTCTTTGATTCAACTTTTTATTTTTGGTCCGATAATTTAAAAAATCGTAGAAATGTCGTCCTTTTTTGGCCCGACGGCCCATTCTCGCAATCTGCATCCTACGTGGACCCGGGCACCGCCTAGCGCCTAGGCGCCGCCTAGGCGGCCGCCTAGGCCGACTTTTAGAACAGTGTAAATGACCTTAATTTTGTGCACCCCGTGCATCGCACGAGATCTGTACTAGTTCTGTTTAAAACATATACAATGTTTTTGTCTAATTGTCAATATAATAGATTTAGATCTCGCGTAATGCGAACAAATAAAAGAAAAAGTATCATCACACATACTCCATTGTATTTATTTATAAATTGGGTCTAAATTGATATGAAACAAATAATTAAAATAAACAGTTTATTAAAATAATAATTTAAGTTGAGCCATAATAATGCGAAACAAATAATTACTAGTAGTTTAGTAAAATATTAGTTTTTATAGAAAAACGTTGGGCATTAAGGGGTGTATTTGTTTGAGTTTTCTAAATAATTTTTAAGATTTTAAAAATTATGGTGTACTTGAACTTTTTAAGACTTTTAAATGTTTTGACATGTTTATTTGAGATTCTAAGAGGTATTACAAAATTCTGGTATTTTACTTATTTGAGACTCAAAATGGTCAGGACTTTCTAAGATTTGATGAGATTTCAAAAAAAAATCCATATACGAAACCTCATGCCAAATCTCGACTTAATTCATAATTAAGATTTCATATGATTCCTCCCAAATCCAAAAATCACAAAAAGTCTCAAATTTAAACAAATATCATTATTCCATTCAAAACCCCAAACGAATACACCTCTAAGATATAAGAGAACTCCTCATAAATCTAAAAATTTATAAAAATCTCAAATCTCGAAAAGTCTAAAAATGCTGCTTAAAGTTTCAACCCTATAAATCAATGTCTCAATATGAATATAAATAAAATCATAGTTCATTTTATTGTTTTAAATATCATACTGTACCGGCCGGTAATACTATATACTGGCTATTGGTATAGTACAATCATACACAAAATACCAACAAAATACCAGATTTAGTTTGTACCAAGGTGTCATACCGTAAATATCAGTCTAAATACCGGCCAATAAAAAAATATTAATTGAAAAGCATAAAATTTAAATTAGTTTAAATTAATGATTATGGTCATTTAATTTTTTTTACTTTTTTGCATTTGATATTATATATGTTTATGTATATATTTATATATATATATATATATCATTATATTTGCTAGTACAGTAATACCACCGTATTACCACTCCGATTGATAATACCGAATGTGGTGACTATACCGGTTTGACCACCGGTAGGATATTTAAAACATTTTTTCACATGTCACGTTATATAAATATATAAATATAGTTTTTCTTTATAAAAAAAAAAAAAAAAACAACAACAACATTTGAAGAGCATTTTTTAAACAAAAAGGTATAAAACGACACGTGGACTAACACCGCGTTAGTAACTTCAACTCCAATCCCACTCGCCATCATTATTCCTTTTTATATAATTTTTATTTTTTTTTTCAAATCTCAACCCCCAAATAAAATTGAAATTTCCCTATTTCCCATCATTTTTAAATTAGAAATAATAATATTAAATATTATCACTATAAAAAAAATAAATAAATAAAATCCCAAAATTTCACATTCCTCGCGAACGTGCCATTTCTGCACCTCTCTTCCCCGCCATCTCCGCTCTCACAGATTCCACATTTTTTTTTCCCCCATTTTTTCATTTGATTTTCTTTTTCCGGTCGATAAAATCATAAGAAGCTCCGAGATCTTATCATCGTTTACCGGACATGGAGAAACCCTAGTTATCTCTCTCATACGACACCTGAAATTTTCCGAACTTTGAGATTTTTTTGTTGGAAATCGAAATCTGGTTCTGTTCGCGGCTTTCCGATGCGGCGGATCCTTGATTAGCACGGTTTTTTTTTTTTTTTTTT